AGGAACTTTAAGATGTGTGGACTTCGACTCCCAGAATTCCCCAGCCCCTGGGGAATTCTGGGAGTTGAAGTCCACACATCTTAAAGTTCCTGAGGTTGAGAAACACTGCCTTGAAGGGACAGCTGGAGAGACTGAATGTAAAATTTTCAGGGAACACTTTCACTTCATGGGAGGGCAATCAAAGAGACTGCGCTTTGTAATAGAACACAGACCCTTTAACTTTAATTTTAACACAGCTTCCTCTGCTATTTCAATGATCAATGCAGCTGAGAAACACCCCCAAAGGAATTTGGAAGAATTCTCAACCCCCATCCCCTGAATAAGGTAGGAAAAAAAAAACATTGCAGGTTCAGTTACTTTGCTATTGAGAGGAAGGAAACCTTTGGGAACAATTGCAAGGTGCAATTCAGCCCAGCCTCTCCTACTGTCCAAAATCACAGTGAAAAGCTTGGTCTGGTCTTGTGAGCCCTCGGTTTTCTGCTTTGTTCTCCAAAGGGGGGGGGGGCTTGGCATGGGGAACCCGGGACCCCTCCCTGCCCAAGCAGGCCCTCCCGACCGGATCGCAGTCCCTGCAAGCCTGGCATTTTATTGCTCTGTCCAGTGGAACGGGGCAACCCCACTGGAGGGTGGGGGGCATGGGCTTGGTAAAGCAGATGACGCAAGGTGCGAAGGCCAACAGGAGATCACTGGCCCGCTGAGATGCTACAGGTAAGATCAGGTGAGCTGAAATGCTTGAAAAAGCACTCTGCTGGCCATCTTACAGATGGAAAGGCATAAAAGGGGCAAAGAAAGGGTGGGGAGGGGGGATATTCCACTATTTCAGCAAAGCCACCAGAAATAGTTTGGCACTGCAAGCCGAGCGCCCTCCTTCTCAAGAGGAGGAAAACACGCAGGTTTCGAGCAGCATACTCATGCAAAACCGTCAACGGAGGAGTTTTGATTTGGGGGCACTTTGTTTTCTCATGCACATCTGAAATGTTCCATGTGTGTGTGTCTGTGTCTGCCTTCCTTCCCGTTCGGAGCAGCGCGACAGAAGAGCCACAGGGCCTCCATCTAAGAAGCAAAAAGGGTTCCCTCGCTCCTTCATGAAACACACCCAAGAAAAATCCTCCTTTTTGCCTGAAATGAAAGCTCTGGTCCTGCCGTCGTGGGGAACTATAACATCAGTTGGGTCTTGCGCAGAGCCAAACCATTGTGGCTTGTTCTCAGTTTGAAAATCAATGTGGGAAGAGGCGGTGTCGAAGCCGCTTCACAGGGACAAAAGACGGTGGCTCGGTTTGCACAACACACTTTGCTCGATGGAACGTGCTTGCAGGCTGCAATGTGCTTCAACTAATGGGCTGGGTTCACAGGCTGAGCCGTGCGCACAGACCAAAAGCCCTTACCAGGTTTAAAACTTTCCGAAGATCATGTGCTGTTCCTGATGCAGCCTTTACATCTTTAACTAGCCTACAGATGTTGTGTGAACACCGCCAGATTGTTTTTCGGGCATGTCTCCCACCTCCCCGTTCAGACACTGGGCACTTTTACCTTTGGGTTCAGACATATTGCAGGAAGCTATAACATCAGTTGGGTCTTGCGCAGAGCCAAACCATTGTGGCTTGTTCACAAGAGGTGGCAGCTTAGCACGAAGGCTGAATCCAGCACTGGGGCTGCTCTTGCTAACTGTGGTTAAAGCAAACCATGGTTTAGCAGAGTGTGGAAAATAGGGTGGTGGGGAGCAGCAGTGAAATAATGGGTGGGTATCCTTGTTTCTGGCTTGGCATGTGGTGCAAATGTGGCCCCCGGGGCTGATAAATCACAGCTTGGGGTTCTACAAACTTCAGCCACTGTGGTTGATTCCATCAAGAATTCTTCAGCAAACCCTGGTTTGAGTTGTTTGAACCAGCCAAGGACGTGGCAATGTCTGAACAGCTGCACGCTTTTGTTCTGCTTTCTACCATGCCAAGGCCAGAACCTGGTCAAAGGGGACAGAGTTGGCAGTGATCTGACACCCCACCCCCGGAAACTTCCTTGGAAAATATGAGGACTGCGTGTGACAAACGTCTCAACCAGCTGGGGATCTGTCTTGTGCCAGCCTGTCCTAAGGAGCTTCTACAATCTTGCATTTTCATTGCTATTCCTTGATTTTCCTTGCAAGTTCCCCAGATCTGAAGGAAGGCTGAGACTGGTGAGAATCCCAGATTCCTCTTTTCAACACCTGCTCCTTACACTGAGCTGGCCTTCTCCGTTCGTGGCTCCCTGGCAGCATTTCCCCCCCCCCCCTTTCTGCACATGCAGGAGCGAGCAATTCAGCAAACATCTGCTCCTAAGATCCTGTGCGAGTGCGGGAGAGGGCAGACAATGGTTTCCTTAAGATAAATATCTGGCAGGCCCACCAACTGCAAATGGAAAGGAATAGGACCTCAGACAGACACACGCACGCACGCTTGGGAGCATCCTGGCCAAAGGACCAGGGAGGGGGTCAATGTGTGCACCCCTTGGAAGTGCTCACATGGAGGGGTGGGTCCACTAGAAACAGAAAGGAGGTCATTGTTGCGTTTGGAGGGGCCCGAAAACAATGCAAAGCAGCACTTCCTCGGGACCCGTTGCAAATGAAGGGGAAAAAAGAGGGCGGCCACAACAGAAATGCACGTCAAGTCTACAGCACGCTACGGGGGGGAGGCCTGGTGAACATCTCAAGTGTGTAAGAGCTGCCGCTGGGGGTGGTGTGGGGGGAACAGCTCAGGGCAGCGCCAGACTCAACACAATCCCAACACAACCCAACACAACCGGGTCCCGAACCATAGGAAGCCTCTCTGCGAGGCCAAAACCGCTTTGTCCCCAGGAGAAAGGCTGGAGAGGAGAGAAATTTAAAAAATCACTTCTTCTGGTTTCTGTTCTTCAAAGGGAAGAGGGTTTAAAAAGACCCGTCCGTTTTCGAAGTCTCTCGCTATCGAGAAAAGCCTCCTGTCCCTTGCTGTTCTTCCGTCCAGCCCAAAGAGCTGCTGGGGGGAACCACGTCCGGCAAACAGGAAGGAGATGGACCTTCCGCAGCCCCGTTCCAGATGTTCGGGGCCCTTCTTCGAAAAGCGATGCTGAAACGGCTCTTCCGAAGGATGGGCGGGGTGGGGGGGCCGAGAAGAGAGAGTGCAACCCCTTCCCCGCCCTTAGCCCTTGAGGAGAAGGCCCACGTCGATGACGTCGAGTTTGGAAGCGTCCTTCTAAATAAGAATCCCTGGGTTGCTCTGGTCTGCTCAGAGTCTGCAGCCGCTCGGCGTTCCTGTCTCCGCGGCGGCCACCCCGTGTGGGGACCCCACGGCCCGCGGGAAACCTGGACGCACACTAGGACAACGAGGGAGCGGGGCCTCAAGCTCGTGGCCGTGCGCGAGCACCACGTCTCAAACTTCCACGGACTGGATCTGGCTCATCTGCGTGCGCATCATCTGGATGCTGTTCAAGATCTTCTTCTGGTGGCCGGCTAGTGTCACGCCGACTCGCAGGATGTCTCTGGGGCCGGGAAGAAGAGCAGGGAGAGGACGATTAGCAGGAGGGAAGCATCAGTTCATTGTCCGCTGTTTTATTTTATTTTATTTTATTTTGTTCACATAAAACAGGCAGCGCTCCAATTGCACCATCGTGCCACCGTCTTGACTTTTCTGACCCCCCCCATGGTCACCCCTGCCAACCTTAACCCCCATCCATGAATCAGCCCCCATCTCAATACCATTCAGGGGTGCTGATACCATTCCAGGCACCAGGCCAGAGCCAGTTGCTGTAAACATCGGAGGTGCCCGCAGGGGAGGGTCAAGCAAGTCAAGATGGCGGCTGGAACGGTGCAACCCAAGCCCCGCCCCTTTTAAGGTGGGACGTGTCGCTTTGCAAATCCCCGCGAACCCGGGGCCAAGACCTGCTCTTACTCCATTGTCATCTGGGAAACCAAGTCGAAGCTGACGAAGCCGTTGCTGACGAAACTCTCCTTGTACTGGCCCATCTTGATTGCTTCGAGCCATTCGTCGACCGTGTTGAAGCTGGAATAATCCGGGATCGTGCGGTCCAACAAGGGGAGGTTAATCCTGCAAGACAACCACAGCAAACTCTGGTCCCAACCTGGCACATTTCTAAACTGCGCAAAACTGAGAACCCTTCCAAAAACGGCCTCCCCCAGATTCTGGCTTGGTTCTTCTTTTAAACCAGGTCACCACATAGCAAATTTTCCACTCTTCCATTTGTTACTGTAGAATTTTATTAGACATGCTTCGACTCCTCCAATTCCCAATTTTTCCTCTATTTTATGTCCTCAAGGGAGATGGTTTGTCTTTGGAAACTTTGGGACAATGAGGCATGGTTGCAACACGACAATTTTGTGCTGAGTGCAACAATAATGCACGTCTGTGCATTAACAAAACGCTGTAAGAAAACAATTTAATTCTCTTGCATAGTTGGAAGTACTAGATACACACACATACATATCGACGATTTCCAGATAACTTTTCTGCAGTGTTTTACCATTAAACAGAACAGAGAAATAAAAAATGCAGTGGATTGAACTGGAAAAGCTGTGGACGCTCCAGTTTGGGAAAAACTTTCAGAACCATGAGGAAGGTGGGCTTTTGTGGCACAACAGAAACAGAAGGTGTGTGTGTGTGTGTGTGTGTGTGTTTGGGAGAGGGAACTTTATTCCACATTTTCCCAACCTTGGTGTCCCTCTTCCACACAGACATTTCTAACCCCTTGATAGATCCCTAGGTTGCACATCCAGCCATCCCACCTGAAGGAATTCTTCCAACCGATGAAGAAGACGCAAAGTCTTCTTCAACGTCAAAGTCAAACTTTGCTCTGTTTCCTTACCCTGAGGAAAGGGGTGCGATGGCTTTCAGGCTGTTGGGGTTTCGGATCATCTTGTCTAAGGTGTTGACAATCTGTCCAAATTTGGGCCGGTGGTTGCGATCCTTCTGCCAGCAGTCCAACATGAGCTGATGAAGAGCGCTGGGACAATCCATGGGTGGTGGCAGTCGATAGTCTTGCTCAATGGCATTAATTACCTGGAAATGAAGGACTCGTGGGTGGGCAATAGCTTGACACCAGTGGGGGCCTCTTGAACACTGAGCGAATTTTATGCTCCCTGCTCCCAACTTATTGTTATTTTGGTACTACTTCCCAAAAAAGATGATCTGCGCCCATCCACCGCTTCACTTTCTAAGAAGGCTTTTTGCAAGTTTGGAGAGAGAAGGATCTGAGAACTGGAATTGCTCAAAATATAATCTTCAGCATTAGGAAGACCCAAAATTTGTCCTCCTGCCTTTGAGGCCCATCAACCCTTCCAGACTACTGCAATCATATTGTTTGAAGATCAGGGAAGTTGTCTAAATGAGAGGGTAGCAGGTTGAAAATGGTGCTTTAGATGACAGATCAAATCAAATCAACTTTATTAGGGTCACAGAGCAGCATAGTTTAGATGATGAAGATTTTGAGTTAGGAGGAATGATTTGGATTAAAGCCTCCTTTCCCTCACCTCTCTTCAGAAGTAGAAGCAGCATCTGAAACATTGGAAGAGGTCCCACAAGATTTCCTTCTCATTTTTTTCCCTAAGCAACCAATGATTTCTGAAAATCCCCCATTTTCTGCTCTCTAGGTCTACAGATGATGCCAGTCCTATCACCCGAAGCTCTATCCGTCTACAACACCCAGTGTTCCCCAGATGTTCCAAAGCTGTGACTTACGTCCTGGTTGGTCATATCCCAATAAGGCCTCTCCCCATAGGATGTCACCTCCCACATGACGATGCCATAGCTCCACACATCACTGGCCGAAGTAAACTTTCGATACTGGATGGCTTCAGGTGCGGTCCAACGGATTGGGATCTTCCCACCCTGTGAAGGTGAGAAGAATCAGGTCAGAAGAGGATATTCAGTGGGTGGGTGGGGTAGATCCACTACTCCTCTTTTGAGGGAGGGGACAATTATTGGTTCTCTTTGTCACACAGCAAGAAAGAAAAGTTTCTGGGGAAGACTGACCCACGCAGAGCACCCTGACACTTCCTTGGTTAGTTCTTTTAGAACTATGTTTTTCAGCCTTGACAACTTTAAGATGTGTGGACTTCTACTCCCAGAATTCCCCAGCCAGCCTCTTTCAAGACCCACTGATGCTCTTGGTCTTGGAGAACTGAGGGGGGAGTTATGGGTTGATCACAAAATAGCCACAATTCAGTGACAAGGCACTTGTCCTGTGGGCAAGGCCTTGGTATCTTCAGGGAAGAAGATCCTTCACCCATGAGGGGAGATCAGCATACCATAACCTGGTCCCTTTCAGTCATTTTGGACTACAATTCCCAGACTTCCCAATTGTCATTCAGGAATCTAGAGAGGGCCAGATCAGGGTTGGCTGACATGAACTAGAAGTGGCCAGTCGACAACCTGAGGACCATATATCAGCTCCTCAGGAGAAAGAGAAGAGGTAGAAGGTGACCTGTCCCCCGGTTTGTCTCAGTCCACTTTCAAATTCTTGGCCAACCACATCTACCCCTCCTTCTGGCATCTTACTAGAGCACTGGTATAGGTGGGGTCCGAGGTATCATCTTCCAGGAAGCGGGAGAGGCCGAAGTCCGAAACCTTGCAGACCAGATTGCTGTTGACCAGGATGTTGCGTGCCGCCAAGTCACGGTGGACGTAGTTCATGTCAGCTAGGTATTTCATGCCGGCGGCGATGCCCCTCAGCATCCCCACCAACTGGATCACAGTAAATTGCCCATCATTTTGCTGAAGAGAAGAACATGAGGACAGGAAAGTTGGGTGACATCCAGGGCAGGAGATGTGAGGTGTGAGCTGGCCACTGTGGTTCAAGGATCTCCTAGCCAGCGGACCTGATTTCCCTAGCCTCAAAAACTGAACTTCAGCTGTAGAAGAAGTCTCCCTCAATCTTGCCTGTGGACCTTCTGGATGCATCTGACTGGCCTTTATGTGACAAAGACCTTGGTCAGATCCAAAGGAGTCCAACTCCTGTTCACGCAATCTACTCAACGTAGTCAACCGCTAACCCATTCAAATCTCCTAAAATCCCAGAATCAAGTCAACCAGGACATAAGCCATGACGGGGAGAACGTTCTCAGCTGTTCCTCTACTCCAGTTCTTTTCTTAGAAGATGAGGTAGACCACCAGAGGTAGTTCACTGGCTTTTAGTGTCCCTAAACCATGGCTGGTGAGCCTGGTTTATTTCACCTTGTGCAAGGCTGGGTCTCTTGTGGGCCTCTTCATATAATTGACTGGAGCAAGTGACCCCTTTCTGACAGTCTCACAACACGTTTAACCAGGCCAGTGCAGGTCTAATGGCTGCATTCACACAGAATCCCACATTTGCTGACGGCTAACTTTGGCTAGGTTTTTCATAGAATTATGGAGTTAGAAAAGTCCCGTGAGGCCATCAAGACCAACCCCCTGCTTAATGCAAGAATCTGTTAAAGCAGGGTTCCTCAACCTTGGCAACTTTAAGACGGGTGGACTTCAACCTCCAGAATTCCTCAACCAGCCTTGCTGGCT